TTTGAAAACTATTGAAAAATAAGATTTTGAAAAACAATATATGTATAGTTTTCATAACAACAATATAATTCAATCAAAACACAATAATTTGAAAAAAAAATTATTTCGAAAATTTTAAAAAAAATTAGAAAATTCTTGTGTTTTTGATGAAATTAGTTGTACTATCTAGTTTCTAATCACTAAACAATCAATGCACGATCACTATTTCTATCCAGAACTAATTAAAACTAGTCATATGTTCAAAATCAATGAAATAGAGAGTTTAGAAAAATTTACCTTGAAAGATGAGATTGAGTGGATTTTGATGTTGTTTGCACGATTTTAATGATGCTATCAGGTTTAGAAGATGATATTTGAAGAGAATTTCGATTAAAATTGTTGATTTGAGGCAAAATAGAGATATAGGGTGATAGTGGAGAGGGGAACGGCGTGAAGAAGGAGAGAAGAGAATTTGAGCCAAAACCAAAGGTTCTGCCGGATAAAACTAGTACCCCAGGGGGGTATCGATTCCCCTAGGGGGAATCGGTTCCCCTTCAAAGGGGGAATCGGTTCCCTCATGAGGGTATCGATTCTGTAACACCCCAACTCGTACCCGACCCGAATACGAGTCTGAGGTGTCACATTGACTTTTCAAACCTTGACATTTAAAGAAAAACCCCAGGAAATTTAAAACTTTGTTTAAAAAAAATACTTTAATTTACATAAAAGAGACTACAAACTCGATTAGAGTGCTCGTAATTAACGACTTATTACATGCTAACACCCTATACACAACAAAATACATACTTTGTCGATTACTTCTGATCTGATCTTCTAGTAATAATAATGTCCTTGCCACTTCTATTCTTGCTCTTCACGTTTCTTGGTACCTACGTGTAAATCACTTACACGCTAAGTCATAGACTTAGTGAGGCAATAAATAAACATGTAACAGTAGATTCATGAATATGCATTCTTACCATTTGATCATGATATTTCAATATGCATGGATATATTTCCTATGACATATATATAACCAAGTCATGCACACATGAAACTTACCTTTTTGCATCACTTTCACTTTAATTTATATTTCAATTGTTGTTATTGTTGCCCATGTATATTATTGAGAATAGAGGTATGTGAGTACATTGAGGTTGTGCACCAATATTGTCACCACAGCTCGTATAAATTCCCTCATGGGGCACCGAACATTTGTTCAGTATTCGTCCCGAAGGACTGCTATATATGTCCCGTAAGACCACTACGTCCCGAAGGACTACATCCCGAAAGACTACAATACCCTCAACTCTTGGCATGCCAACTATACCTATAGCTCTTGTATCATATACTATGGGCATTTACGATGAATACTTTTCTCATCACTTGTTCTTTCTTTTCTGTCACATACTACATGTATGTGTAACCATGTATTTCATATCATATCACATGTATCACATATTGCATATTCATATATCATTTAATTTATTCACATAACTTATCTCATTTCACATTGATCATGTCTCATAGCATATATCACATATTCATATAACATATATAATAACCTATACCCATTTCATGTATTCATGCACATATAAGAATCACAAATCAAATAACATTTTAAGAGTCACTTCTTACCATAGTAACTCCATCACTAGCTCATCGCAAGCCAATGTTCAATAATATAAGTACAATTAAAATTGCACTCACTTTAGCCTTGCTTTGATTCGATTATAATCCTTTGATTATTCCGGAACTTGTTTAGGCTCAATATCTACATAAATATATTATTTCAAAACAATTATCAGAAGCCTAAACTTTAAACTTGATGTTAATAACTTAAACCGGTTTAATGAGTCAAATTTCATTTTTTTTCATTTAGGGGGGAATCGATACCCCCTAGGGGGAATCTGTTCCCCCTGCACATACTGGAATTTTCGTCCAAGAGGGGGAACCGATTCCCATTCATAGGGTATCGGTTCCCTCTACCCAGAATAATGATATATTTCAATATGCATGGATATGTATCGGTTCCCTCTACCCAGAACAGTAGATTCATGAATATGCATTCTTACCATTTGATCATGATATTTCAATATGCATGGATATATTTCCTATGACATATATATAACCAAGTCATGCACACATGAAACTTACCTTTTTGCATCACTTTCACTTTAATTTATATTTCAATTGCTGTTGTTGTTGCCCATGTATATTATTGAGAATAGAGGTATGTGAGTACATTGAGGTTGTGCACCAATGCTGTCACCACAGCTCGTATAAATTCCCTCATGGGGCACCGAACATTTGTTCAGTATTCGTCCCGAAGGACAGCTATATATGTCCCGTAGGACCACTAGGGGGGAATCGATACCCCCTTAGGGGGAATCTATTCCCGGGGAATCGATACCCCCCCAAGGGGGAATCTGTTCCCCCTGCACATACTGGAATTTTCGTCCAAAAGGGGGAATCGATTCCCATTCATAGGGTATCGGTTCCCTCTACCCAGAAATTGTATTTTAACCCCGAAAATCATCAATTCTTCACTTAATTCTTCTATTTTGAACCCCTATCATGTCATTAAACTCAACTACCATTACTTAAACCAACTTATATCCATGAAAATCATCTATAACTTCAAAATCCCATCCTTCATATGTAATTCAAGAATCATACTCAAATTTCAATATGTTCTAAATACAATTCTAACACTTCACATTCCTTAATTAGCATGATGACAAGTCAAATTTAACTTCAAATTCAACTTATCAACTATTTTCCATGATTTCATATAAAAACTCGTTTTCTTAAATCTCTTATAACTTCTTCATCTTTTGATTATAAGACAACTTAAGCTTTCCTTAAGCTTAGTTATCATCTAATGATCAAAACCTAACCTTTAATTTAACAAATAACCAACAAATCAGAAAACCCTTACCTTTGCCTAGCTTCCACGGTTAGGAGAAGAAGGAATGAAGAAGAAAGAGTTTTCAGATACCTCTTTCCCCCACCCCCACGTGATTCATTCATAATATTGGGAAAAATATATTTCATGCTAAATGACCATTTTGCCCTTTAATTCCTTTGATAATTACTAATAACTTTCAGGAAATATTTCCGAACAAATCATTGGACTATACAAATATCCTACTTTAATCAACACATTCTGAAGGTTTACAATTTCGTCACTAACCCGTATCTTGGGATGTTACAAATCTCTCCCCCTTAAGAAAATTCATCCTCGAATTTTCATTATACAAAGAGATGGGGATATTGAATCTTCATGTCCTCTTCACGTTCCCACGTCGCTTCTTCCACCTTGTGATTTCTCCACAACACTTTCACTAATGGAATGGTCTTGTTCCTTAATTGCTTGACTTCTTGAGCCAATATTTGAACAGGTTCTTCCTCATAAATCAAATATGATTGAACCTCGATCTCTTCGGTAGTCACAATATGAGATGGATCGGATCGATATTTCCTAAGCATGAAGACATGAAAGATGTTGTGAATTTTCTCCATTTCAGGTGGCAAAGCTAATTGATATGTCACTGATCCTACTCTCTTAACGATTTCATATGGTCCAATAAACCGGGGACTCAATTTTCCTTTACGTCCAAATCTCAATACTTTCTTCCATGGAGACTCTTTCAAGAACACTTTATCTCCGATTTGAAACTCAATTTCTTTCCTTTTTAAATCAGCATATGATTTCTATCTATCAGCTGCAGCTTTCAGATTATTATGAAATACTTGGACTTTCTCTTCCATTTCCTGAATCAACTCAGGACTAATAACTTCTCTATCCTTAAGTTCATACCAATTCAAGGGTGTACGACATCTTCTCCCATATAAAGCTTCATAGGGAGCCATTTTGATGCTTGACTGGTAACTATTGTTGTATGCAAATTCAACAAGTGGCAAATATTTTTCCCACGATCCTTTAAATTCAATAACACAAGCTCTTAACATATCTTCCAGAATTTGGATGGTTCACTCAGACTGGCCATCTGTCTAAGGATGAAACGCTGTGCTAAAATTCAGTCTTGTGCCCAATGATCCATGTAAAGACTTCCAAAATCGTGACGGGAATCTAGGATCCCGATCAGAAACTATGGAAACAGGTACACCATATAACCGTATAATCTCTCTGATATACAACTTAGCATATTTATCCATAGAGAAATCAGTTCGTACCGGAATAAAATGAGCTGACTTAGTCAACCTGTCTACAATCACCCATATTGAATCTCTTTTATTCGGAGTTAAAGGCAACCCCGTCACAAAATCCATTGTTACATTCTCCCATTTTCATTGAGGAATTGAAATTGATTGTAACAGTCCCAACAGAACCTGATGCTCAGCCTTAACTTGCTGACAAATCAAACATTTTGATACAAATTCTGTAATGTCTTTCTTCATTCCCAGCCACCAATATCGACTCTTGAGGTCCATATACATTTTGTTTCCTCCTGGATGAATCGTCAATGGACTACAGTGAGCTTCCATTAATAAATCATTCTTTAATTCATTAACATCTGGAATCACTAGCCTCCCTTGATAATATAGGTTCCCATTAGTTTTCATCTCATAATCTGTACATTATCCATTCTTTATTTGCTGCAACTTCTTTGAACAATTTTCATCTTTAGCTTGCAATTCTTTAATTCGATCTAACCATGATGGTTTGATAGTCAATTCAGCACAAATTGCACCATCTCCACCTAATGATAGTTTAGCATCCATAGCTCGTAAGGCTGCAAACGTCTTTAGGCTTAAGGCATCCGCTACCACATTTGTCTTTCCGGGATGGAAATCAATCACAACATCATAATCCTTGAGAAATTCCACCCATCTTCTCTGTCTTAAATTTAACTCTTTCTGAGTCATCAAGTACTTTAAACTTTTATGATCCGCATACAAGTAGTATTTTTCACCATACAAGTAGTGACGTCAGATCTTAAGAGCAAACACTACTGCATCCATCTCCAGATCGTGTGTCGGATAATTCTTCTCATGCGGCTTTAATTGTCTTGAAGCATAAGCCACCACCTTGTCTTCTTGCATTAACACACATCCCAAGCCATTATGAGACGCATCACTATATACTACAAAATCCTTGCCACACTCAGGTTGAACTAACACTGGAGCTTCTGTCAAAATCTTCTTTAACTTTTCAAAACTCTCTTGGCATTCTTGAGTCCAAATAAATTTTACTTTCTTTCTCAACAGCTTAGTTAGGGGTAATGCTATTATTGAAAAGTTTTTAACGAACCTTCGATAATAACCAGCTAACCCTAGAAAACTTCAGACTTCTGACACATTTTTTTGGAACTTCCCACTCCATAATAGCTTTAATCTTTTGAGGATCTACTCGAACTCCTTCTACAGAAATTACATGTCCAAGAAATGCCACTTCATTCAACCAGAATTCACATTTAGAGAATTTAGCATAAAGCTTCTTGTCTCATAAATTCTACAAGATAATCCTCAAATGAGAACTATGCTCTTCCTCTGACTTTGAATATATTAAAATATCATCAATGAAAACTACCACGAACTGATCCAAATAGGGTTGAAAAATTCTGTTCATTAAATCCATGAAAGTAGTTGGTGCATTCGTAACTCCAAACGGCATTACAATAAACTCATAGTGACCATATCTTGTTCTAAACGCCGTCTTTGGAACATATTTCTCTTGAATCTTTAATTGATGATAACCTGAACGTAGATCGATTTTTGAGAACACTGAAGCTCCATTTAATTGATCAAATAAGTCATCGATTCAAGGAAATAGATATTTATTCTTGATAGTCACTTTATTGAGTTGTCTATAGTCAATGCAGAGACGCATTGAACCGTCATTCTTCTTAACAAACAAAACTGGAGCTCCCCAAGGTGATACACTTGGTCTAATAAAACCTTTGTCCAACAATTCTTGTAATTGAATCTTTAACTCTTGCAACTCTTTTGGAGCCATTCTGTATGGTGTCATTGCAATGGGCACTGTTCCCGGCATTATCTCAATCTGAAATTCTACCTCTCTGTCCGGAGGTAAACCTGGTAATTCTGCAGGAAATATATCAGAGAACTCTCTAACGATAGGAATTTCTTCAATCTCTTTGTCTTTGGCTCTTACATCCAACACACTAGCAATGAACCCTTGACATCCTTGTAACAGTAACTTCTTTACCGTCATCACTGAGATCACATTTGCCAATGGATTTCACCCTTCACTAAACACCACGATTTCTACCTCTTTTGGACTTCTCAACGTTACTCTTTTCAGTCTACAATCGACATTAGCATAATAACGATATAACCAATCCATTCTCAGTATCACTTCAAATTCTTAAAAGGTAATTCCATCAAATTAGCAGGGAATTCAATTCCCTGAATTCGTATGGGACACCCTCGACTCACCATATTTACATGAGCACTGTGCCCTAACGGATTTGTCACTATCACCTCATTGTTAGTAGCTTCTAATTAAATGTTCAATTCTCTCACTAACTTACTAGTAATGTATGAATATGTAGACCCCGTATCAATCAATACCATAACATGTTTATCAAACAGCAGAAAGGTATCTGTTATAATCTCCGGATCATCCAAATCTTCATTGGTCCTGAGATTATACACTCGAGCAGTGGAACGTATCTCTTGTTGAGCAGAGGACTCTGACTGATTTATTCCTCTGCCTCTACCTCTTCCCCTTTGGCCTGTAGAAATAGACCTCTCTGGCTGTGCAGATTCATCGACTACTCTAGGACAATCCCGAACAAAATGTCTGGTCTCCCCACATCTAAAGCAAGCTCCAGAAATCCTTCTACATATCCCAGAATGATTCTTTCCACAATGTGGGCATTGTCTGTCTTGACTCTGGTTAAATCTCTCATTTCCAGATCATGTTGACTGAGTTTGTCTTCCTCTCATCGGATTTGATCCTCTAGCCGAGGATACCACTGACTCCGATCTAGCTTGAGGTCGAGAACCAGCATCTCTGCCTCTTTTTGACAGTGCGGAACTCGAAGAAGCACCCGTTCTCTTGGCTGTTTGAGTCCTTGAATTTTCAAATCTCTCATTCTGAGCTCTTTCCAAAGCTTTGGCATGATTTACTACCTCTTGAAATGAGGATAGATTCAATACAATCAACATCTCCTTCAACCGAGGACGTAACCCCTCTACGAACCACTCACAAGCATCATTCTCAGTAGGAACAAGCTCGGCAGCAAAGCGGCTCAACTTATTGAATTCACACTCGTACTCATATACAGTGCGATTCCATTGCTTCAGATTCATGAACTCTTGCTTCATTTGTCGAACAAATTGATCTCCGATGTACTTATGTTTGAATTCTTCTAAAAACAAGGACCAAGTTACTTGATCATCAGACATTCTCAATGTAACATTGGTCCACCAAATTCTCGCTTGCCCTCGAAGCAAGGAGACGACTCCATCCAGCTTGTCAGCATCAGAACAATGAAGTCCCCCAAGCATGACTTTCACGTCATTAAACCAAAGGTCTGCAGTAACAGGACCTTCATCAGCTTTACCTCTAAACTTTGGGGCTCCTAAACCCTTCAACTCTTTTGCAACATTCATTTTTGGAGTTAAAGTAACAGTAGGTTGAAAACGCGTCAATACCGCGTCTAAAGTTCTAAAGAATACATCTTGATCATTCACAGGCACTCCAGAGGGTGTCTGTTCTTCACTCTGCCTGGCCAGGGAAGGTGAATTATTGCTTTCAGCGGGTATATCATCTCCCACTTCATTTCTAGAACTACCTTGTCCGGACATCTATAAAAATACAATCATATAGTTCTATTAGCACAACAGTATACTTACTATTCCATCAAATCAGAAGTTTTCACTATTTTGTTGGCATGTATACCTTATAAAATACTCTAGACTCCGGTTTATGCTGAGAATCGACTAAACCTTAGCTCTGATGCCATTAACTGTAACACCCCAACTCGTACCCAACCCGAATACGAGTCTGATGTGTCACATTGACTTTTCAAACCTTGACATTTAAAGAAAAACCCCGGGAAATTTAAAACTTTATTTTAAACAAAATACTTTAATTTACATAAAAGAGACTACAAAATCGATCAGAGTGCTCGTAATTAACGACTTATTACATGCCAACACCCTATACACAACAAAATACATACTTTGTTGATTACTTCTGATCTGATCTTCTAGTAATAATATTGTCCTTGCCACTTCTATTCTTGCTCTTCACGTTTCTTAGTACCTACGTGTAAATCACTTACACACTAAGTCATAGACTTAGTGAGGCAATAAAGAAACATGTAACAGTAGATTCATGAATATGCATTCTTACCATTTGATCATGATATTTCAATATGCATGGATATATTTCCTATGACATATATATAACCAAGTCATGCACACATGAAACTTACCTTTTTGCATCACTTTCACTTTAATTTATATTTCAATTGCTGTTGTTGTTGCCCATGTATATTATTGAGAATAGAGGTATGTGAGTACATTGAGGTTGTGCACCAATGCTGTCACCACAGCTCGTATAAATTCCCTCATGGGGCACCGAACATTTGTTCAGTATTCGTCCCGAAGGACAGCTATATATGTCCCGTAGGACCACTAGGGGGGAATCGATACCCCCTAGGGGGAATCTGTTCCTGGGGAATCGATACCCCCCAGGGGGAATCTGTTCCCCCTGCACATACTGTAATTTTCGTCCAAGAGGGGGAATCGATTCCCATTCATAGGGTATCGGTTCCCTCTACCCAGAAATTATATTTTAACCCTGAAAATCATCAATTCTTCACTTAATTCTTCTATTTTGAACCCCTATCATGTCATTAAACTCAACTACCATTACTTAAACCAACTTATATCCATGAAAATCATCTATAACTTCAAAATCTCATCCTTCATATGTAATTCAAGAATCATACTCAAATTTCAATATGTTCTAAATATAATTCTAACACTTCATATTCCTTAATTAGCATGATGACAAGTCAAATTTAACTTCAAATTCAACTTATCAACTATTTTCCATGATTTCATATAAAAACTCATTTTCTTAAATCTCTTATAACTTCTTCATCTTTTGATTATAAGACAACTTAAGCTTTCCTTAAGCTTAGTTATCATCTAATGATCAAAACCTAACCTTTAATTTAACAAATAACCAACAAATCAGAAAACCCTTACCTTTGCCTAGCTTCCACGGTTAGGAGAAGAAGGAAGGAAGAAGAAGGAGTTTTCAGATACCTCTTTCCCCCACCCCCACGTGATTCATTCATAATATTGGGAAAAAATATCTTTCATGCTAAATGACAATTTTGCCCTTTAATTCCTTTGATAATTACTAATAACTTTCAAGAAATATTTCCAAACAAATCATTGGACTATACAAATATCCTACTTTAATCAACATATTTTGAAGTTTTACAATTTAGTCACTAACCCGTATCTTGGGATGTTACAGATTCCCTCTGCACCAAAATGCTAAAATCTGATTTTAAACACACAAAATGCTAAAATAACTTTCTCTAGTGGTATTGGCAACTCATATATTGAAAATTAATCATGTTCAATCAATCAAATAATCTTTAAACTATATTTGAACATAAAGTTAATTTTCATCAAAAATCATAAACTCCCCCTAACTAATAGCAATGAATGCAATCAAAAATTACTATTCTAAGCATTTTTCATTTAGTCTTAAAAGTGCTAAAATTATTTTAAACACTAAGTGAAGATAGGTTGGTCAAACCTAATTCTCTCCTAAGTGTCCAAAATATTTCCTTGTCTAAAGGTTTTGTAAAAATATCCGCTAATTGGTGCAAAGTATCAACAAATTCTAGAACTACATCTTCCTTAGTGACATGGTCTCTAATGAAGTGATGTCTTATTTCAATGTGCTTAGTTCTAGAGTGTTGGATGGGATTTTTAGTGATACAAATAGCACTAGTATTGTTACACTTGATAGGAATAGTACCTACTTCAATTCCATAATAAAAAAGTGCTAAAGATTCTCTTAACGGCTAGTAAATGTGATTTCTTAGGACATGATTGAAATCTAGCACATAAGCAAACACTAAGCATAATGTCCGGTCTACTTGCAGTAAGATAAAGCAAAGAGTCAATCATTGACCTATATAATTTAACATCTACACATTTACCTCCTTCATCTAAGTCAAGATTTGTTGAAGAGCTCATTGGAGTATCATGAGGTTTGCCATTTTCCTGTCCAAACTTCTTGAGCATATCTTTGACGTACTTAGCTTAATTGATGAAGATGCCATATTTTCTTTGCTTGATTTAGAGTCCCAAGAAAAATGAGAGCTCCCCCATCATGCTCATCTCAAACTCACTTTGCATTAGCTTAGAAAATTCTTGGCAAAGAACATCATTAGTAGAACCAAATATTATATCATCAACCTTCCCTTTTGAAAAACTTTTTTCAATTAAAAAATTTGACAATCTTTCATACCAAGCTCTAGGAGCTTGTTTTAAACCATAAAGAGCTTTTGTCAATTTAAGAACATAATCCAAAAATTTTGAATCTTCAAAACCTGGAGGTTGTTCCACATACATTTCTTCCTTTATAAAACCATTTAAAAATGCACTTTTAACATCCATTTGATATAATTTAAATTCATGAAAACATGCAAATGCTAATAACATTCTAATCACTTCCATCCTAGCTACGGGAGCGTATGTTTCATCATAGTCTATGCCCTCTTCTTGAGTATACCCTTGAGCAACAAGTCTAGCCTTGTTTCTCACTATATTACCACTCTTATCAAGCTTATTCCTAAATACCCATCTAGTACCTACAGTAGATTTATTACTAGGCCTTTCAACTAATGTCCATACTTTACTTCTCTCAAATTGAGTTAACTCTTCTTGCATAGCCATAATTCAATGTTCATCATTTAATGCTTCTTTAATATTCTTAGGCTCTATGCATGAGATAAATGCAACATAATTACAAATATTTCTAAGAGAAGATCGAGTTGTTACCCCTTTGGATGGATCACCTATAATCTCACCATCCTTGACATAGTTGTACTCTCTTGGATAAGATACTTCCCTTTCTTCAATGGTTGGATTCTCAAGAGGATCATGAGTTTCCTTATTTTTCGTTTCTTCCTTTGATGATGGTTCTCCAACGTTATGTCTAACGTCATTTGTATTTATAACACCTACATCATCATTCACACAAGAATCCTTCCTCGGAAGGGGATTATCATCGAAAACAACATGTATAGATTCTTCTACAACTAAAGTTCTTTTATTAAATATTCGATAAGCTTTAGAATTTAAGGAATAAACCAAAAAATTCCTTCATCACTTTTAGCATCAAATTTGCCAAGGTTTTCTTTACCGTTGTTTAAAACAAAACATTTACATCCAAAAGGATGAAAATAGCTAATGTTAGGCTTTTTATTTTTGAAAATTTCATATGGAGTTTTCTTTAAAATTGGCCTAATCATTACTCGATTTACAACATAACAAGCGGTATTTGTGGCTTCCACCCAAAAATATTTTGGCAAATTATTTTCACAAATAATGGTTCTAGCCATTTCTTCTAAAGTTCGATTTTTCCTCTCAACAACTCCATTTTGTTGAGGGGTTCTAGGTGCTGAAAAATTGTGGCTAATACCATTAGAATTACAAAACTCAGTAAATCCAAGATTTTCAAATTCAGTGCCATGATCACTCCTAACACTAGTTATAGAGTAACCTTTATCGTTTTGGATTACTTTTGAAAATGTGATGAATTTTTCTAATGCTTCATCTTTAGTACTTAAGAATAGAACCCAAGTATATCTAGAATAGTCATCTACCAAGACAAATGCATATTGTTTTCCACCCAAGCTAGTAGTCCTAGTTGGCCCAAAAAGATCTATATGGATCAATTGTAATACTCTACTAGTTGATACGTCATTAATGGATTTAAAAGAAACTCGCTTTTGTTTTCCTTTAGCACAAGCATCACAGATTTTATCATTATCAAATTTAAGCTTAGGCAACCCTCAAACTAAATCACCTTGAATTAGCCGTTGCAAAACACTCATACTAGCATGTCCTAGTCTCCTATGCCATAACCAACTACCATGCTCATTCTTAGCAACTAGGCATAAATTAGTCATTTCTATAGAGTCTAAATGCACCATGTAAATGTTTCCTATTCTATGACCAACAAGCATAATCAAAGTAGATGCAATGTCAATCAATTTTGCAAACACTTAATTTAAAAATAAGACATTGTATCTTTTGTCAAATTCATCTAATCAGATTATGCTTTAATCCATTCACATACAAAACATTATGCAATGTTGATTATCGAGATTAAGAGCACATGCATAAAGTTTTTGAAAATGTTATGCATTAAAACTTTAAAATATATTTTTTTATAAAAAAAATATGCATAATCATTAAGAAAAATTTAAGGTCAAAATTTTGCAAAACCAAAGTTCTTGAAAAATCGATATCAATTGTTAAAGAGATATCAATTACATTTTAAAAACAATTTTGACCAAAAATTAATTTGATGAACTAGAGTTTATAAAACATTACCAAAAATTTCTATGTTCATCATACAATATTTTTCAACATACATGAGATAAAACATAATCATTTATTCAACATTTAAAACCTCATGCATGCATAAACTAAATGAGCAACCAAATAAAATAAAAATATTAAGTTTAAAGGTTACCCATTCCTTTTTCATGTGTGGCTAGAGCATCTTGAATATCATCATCTTCATCACCATTGCTCCCACACACCTACAAGAGACTTTTAAGTAGATTTTGGTATCCAAATTGCTTTGGATCCTTGAACATTAGTTTCAATGTCTCTTGTTCCTTTTGGAACTCATACTTGTCTAATTTTAAATCGTTTTCCTTTCTTTAAAGGACAAGTATGTTCCTTATGACCATGATAATGACAATGTGAACATATTGTCATTATTGAACTAGATGAATTATTTAAAATGATTTCTTTTTCTTTTGTTAAACATTCAAGCTTAACTTTTAAATCAAAATTTTCTTTTTCAATACTTTCAAATTTCATTTTTGAAACCTCTAAATCCTTCTTCAAGATTTCATTTTGATTTTCAAAATCCATTTTTGTTTCTAGAAGAAGTTTGTTTAATTTGAAAATTTCTTTTTCAAAGTTTTCAGATTTTAGTTTTAAAACCTCTAACTACTTTTTCAACATTTCATTTTGATTTCCAAGTCTGTTTTAGCTTTCAAAAGAAGATCATTTTTAGCTATAAATTTAGAAATCAAATTCCTATATTTGGAGTTCATGGTCTCAAACTCTGAAAATAATTCATCATAAGCATCTTGTAACTCATTAAAAGATTTTGAATTTAATTTATTTGAGTTAGAAGATACCTTTGGCTTTGTGAGAGCTAATAGAGACATCACCTTTATTGGTTTTTCTTCTTCCTTGTCTCCATAGATCTCCTCAAGCTTATCCCACATTTTCTTGGCATTTGAACAAGAAGAAACTCCTTTATATACATTAGGATCAATTGCACAACACAACATGTGCATGACCTTTGTGTTTTGTTGAGCTTTATTCCGTTCTTGATCACTCCACTTCTTTGCCTTCTTCATAAGAGAGGAATATCCTTTCTCGATTATCATCCAAGCTTCCATATCATGTGCTTGGATAAATATCATCATGAACCTCTTCCAACGACGATAATTTGTTCCATTGAAGTAAGGAGGCACGCCAATTGGTCTGGATTCTTCCATAGAGAATGAACCGGAAGTGGACGCTATCTTTATCGATTTAACTCTTCCCGAATTGACTCAAGAGGTGGTTAAACCTTCAAATGAGTGAGGCTCTGATACCAATTGTTGAGTTAATCGATTGACGGAATCGGTCAAGAGGGGGTGAATTGGCAATTAAAATTTTGGTGGAAGCTTTTGCAGAAAATTGAAAGTAATTGCACAGCGATTTAGAGTGGTTCGACTTTATCAACCAAAGTCTACGTCCACTACCTTAGCTATCCACACTAAGGATTTTCCAAAAATTCACTAATTTGTCTTTCTTTTGAGGACAAAGACTAACCTTACAAACCCTCAAGAATTATATCCCAAATTCTTGAGAACACTCTCTCCCAAAGAGAACAATACAAATTTGCAAACTTTACAAGGAAATCCTCACAAGGTAGATTGTTTGCACAATTTTAGAACAAAGAAAAGAACACTAAAAAATGAATACAATTGAGTACAAGAAGTGTTCTTGAAATCAAAATGAATATTGAATGAAAAATAGGCTTGAAATGCTCAAACTTGAGGTTTGATGCTTTCTCTTTGATTCTCACTTGATTCTAGTTGCTTGATGTTTCTTGTTTTTGATCAATGGCTTCTAAGCTTGCTTAAATACACCTTGAATCACTTCTGAACGTTGGGGATGATTAGTGAAGATAATATAGCCGTTTTAGTGTGAAATCAATTAATAAAACAGCTTGGAGCGTGGGGGAATCGGTACCCCTTATGGGGAATCGATTCCCTAAGTGTAAAATTCAAATATTTCACACTCCGAGAATACTGGAATTCTCGGAGCCAAGCAATTAAGGGGGGAATCGGTTCCCTCTGAACAAACTGTAATTTTTGGCTTTGAAACGGTTCGAAATACTTTGTAAAATTATTTTGAAATTGTTTTAAGATTAAAACTTAATTTTACACTTGAGTAAGGATTAAAAATGACTCTTTAAAATACTTTGAGTAATATTTTGATATTCGATTAATATATCAAATATGCTTAGAAAAATCATTTTCAAAATTAAAATTCTTTTAATTTAATTTGTTATATCGAAACATCAAAATGTTTTCAACAAGAACATCAGTAAAAAATTCAATCTAGATGCATAATGCAAACCCTAAATCAACTTAAATTTAACCAAATTATTGTGGTCGTATCTTGTACTACACTCTCAACAAAAACAAAACTTCCATATAGAATATAGTCAAAGATACCTAGTTGAGAGAAACAATTATGAATCATAACCATAGTAATAATAAATGGCTTCTGGAACCAGGCATTTAGAACCAAAATCAAGAATCCAAACATGATGAGCTATAAAATCAACTTGCAAACTACCTTGTGACCATAAAAAATGACTTGTTGGATCACACTTATAGAGTTGGGGTCCATTTTCTTCATCAATACCCAAAACCATGGCAACTTCACATAAAAGGAAACATAACATAGTAGAGTAAGTTACCTAGAATACACAATTACACATAAGCATATATATGCTTGCATGTGTATTAACAACTCAAAAGTTGCAAATCTCCCATGGAAAAAATAAAGATAGAAAAACTTTTAAAACAAAATTATAGTTGTAGGATGTTGAAGAAATCATAGGTTTACCAACTCCAAGAGGCCTCTTATAAGCATGCTGAGTATAAACCTGTGATTTGTCTGCAATCCTATACCAATAAAGCATGAAAGGCTAAATTAAATGTATGATCATCAAAATGGACGAGAACCATAAACATCAAAGATAGATCAATTTTCAATAAGGAATTCAAAATAACAGTTAAAATGTGGTTGGTCGTGTGTATTAATTTTAGAACCAAGACTATACCCATGAACCAGTAAATAAGGATGATAAAGCCGCTTCAACTTTGATGTAAAAATAAGCATGATCTTAATATTTTTGAAATATCTACTAGCAGAAGTAAAAGCGCATAAATTTATATCCAGTGTGTATCCAAATGACTGATCTCTTCAAGTCATTAAGCTTGATCAAACATTATCCAGATGAGATATACATAAAATACAAAATCCAAATTTTCGAAAACAACTAAATATTGTCAAGTTCAAGAGAATATAATACAAGTAATTGTACCATTTGGATAATACATCCACATGCATCTCATATCCATATCTGAACCGAAACTCAGCTGCTTCATTCCTTGCTTGTTGGACCAAGGTCCTTGCATCAGCTGAAAAGTGGAAATGCCAATTATCATCAGTGTGAAAAGAGATATATCATTATAGCCCAGAATCCCTACATCCCCAAAACCCTGATTCACTAGTCAACAAAAAAAGATCTTGGAAATTCGAACAAATAATATCTAAGAAAAATATTTACTAAAATAAAAAATGGTATTTAGCAAAAAAATAAAAATAAACCTGTCATGCCAGTAGCCAATAATCCAAGGAACTTGGTAATAGGGAAAAGATGAGTGATACTAGTCTGATCCAATAGCTTGTCCTGCATAGCATTATTCAAAATTAAATACCCAAATCGAAGAAAACCTTAAAATCACTTTAATCCCAAAAATAAAGAAGTAAAGGAAATGTAAATGGGAGAGTATGGACGGGAAATTTCTTCTGGGTAACAACACAGACAAAATCTTTTCCTCGAACACTAAAGGATGTGATCCCAGATGCTTTCACTGCCTTAAACGCATACTCTGCTCAGTTTATTCCAAAATAAAAATTTAAAAACAAATAATAACAATAATAATGTTCTTCCTGATTCCAGAATAATAAAGTTAAAATACACATACCGACATGGAAAAGTCGACCTTCAGGAGAGAAGATACACATACAACTGAAACAAAAATACCTCCTTTTATGTAACCATGAATAAGCATCAATACCCACATGCAAAACTTGCATAATAGCATATATGTTGGGGGAGGAAAAAATGGAAATAAAAGAGAAGAAAAAAGGAGAAAATAAAATACCCGCTTGCCAGCGTATTTCTTTATGTGAACGGGTTCTATGAGAGGTTTCATGAATCTAAACAGACCTTTGATTCCCATTGTTTATCCCCTGTTGTTGGTTTTGGGGATTAAGGTTTTTTTGGGAAGAGGGGAGGGGGCGTTGAGAAAAAGGAGAAGCGGGAAAGCATGCTTAAGTTAAATTATGGGGGAAATTAAAAGACGACTTTTATAGATGACACACAATGAAAAGTGTACTCCGTGTTTTTGCTAAATTTTTTAGATTATGACTATTAAATATGACACACATTATTGTAAGTCATAAATCGTTCAGATTTTAAGAAATATGACATTTTTTTATGACATACATTTTTTACAAGTCATAAATTAGTGTGTGTCATTAAATATATATTTTCTTGTAGTGATAAATTTATTTCAAAGGAAAAATCTCGAACATCAAATATTTTTTTTGTTTATTTTAATCTCAAATATATTATATCGTGATTTACAATACATATTGCCCAACATGAGAGGTATATCAGCTTATCTATCTAGAATATTATGGACCCAGAGAAGAACTACCTTAGATATAATGGTGCTGGACCAGTAATGCACTAATTAATAAAAAATTCATTTTTCAGTGCTGTAGGTTATATCTTAGTATGAAGGCTTTATGGTAAATAAGTATATAAATTATATTTATTTTTATTATTTTAGGTGCTTAACTTTTTTTTAAGTTTAATACTTTATTTTGTTTTTATTCTCAAATTCGATATGATACGTATCAAAAGTAATTCTTGAAAGTATCTGGATAAGAATTTTCATAAAGTGATTTTTGGTAGAAACATAGTTAAAAATGTCTCAATCAATAGATATCGTGGTCCTTACTTCAAGATTCATATTAATATTTTATACACTTTCATAAATAAATAAAAATACAAAAGCATTTTTTATTGAGTAATAATTTAAGTCGGTACGAATTTAAAATATTTTCAGAAATCTAACCCCGTGAACTTTTAATCTATTTCGTACTGTTTGCTTATAGTTTTATTGTTGGGACGTTACGTAAGGTTAAGCTTACGTAAATGGCATTAAATTAACATGTCCCTGATCATGTCCCTTCTCTTAAGAGTCACACCCGTGATTTAAATGACATTTAATTTTGTTGATTTAACTAACATGACATTTAAAAATAATTCAAGTAATGATCAATACATTTGCATGCACGTATGATATTTCACTGTTGAAGTGATAGAATTATTGAACCCTGCACCATGGCTAAAAGGTCCCATTGGCATTCCCGTATTAGTGAAACATTTAAGGGCTGTAATGGAGGGAATGTTGAGCACACGTTTTTCCGGCGAGGTCATCGGTGAATTGTTCGATCAACTTGTCGTAAAATTATCAGAGATTTCTCGGGAATTAGAATCATGTTACAGGGAAGGACTTCAGCTATTTACAGGGAACATGTAGATTCATTAGGGAACATATTATGCAATGTTCTTAGATTTCATTCTTAAGAAAACGGGAAACATTCGCCAAATAACCTCAATCATTACTACTGGATATTTACAAAGCATAACATGCAGATTCATTAGGGAACATGGTCTACCTAGATTTACATACTTAAGAAAACGGGAAACATTCGCCGAATAACCTCAATGCAAATGCAATTGGCGTCGAAACCGGTGTTCCAGAGATGACGACTCGAAAGCTCTCCGATTAGTCGCTTTTTCTCGCTTGGTTTGGATCAGCTTGTCATAAACACACCAAGCAAAGCTCAGAAAATGATCCCTATTCATTCCCTCATTATACTGACCCCAATAACTTGGATGATACGTGACATGGTACCAAGCTGAGGCTTTTGCATACGCATCATCTATTTCATCATCCGATCCGGTTCGCTTTTCGTTAAACCATGACCTAGCTTCCTTCCTCAATGACCTCACGGCCATACCGATGGCTTCCGCATCTATCTTCTTCTTGAAAGACCGAGACATTTTCATGATACCCCCACTGAGTATTTCGGCCTCAGTTTTGATTCCATAATAGTCCATCAAATTCCCCAATTTGTAATCGTAATTACTTTTGTGGAAGAAAGCATCATCAATGTAATCCTCGAAGCCATCGACTTCCATGTCGGAATCATAAAACCTCTCCATTTTCTCCCGAGTTAAGGAATTGATCAAACATTCATTAGGTGCAAGGCTTTTCACCTCTCGGAAAAGTTTTCCAATAACACGTGTGATTGATAACTTGGTTTGTCGGGCTTCTCCATGAAATCCGGATATTCTTTGACCCTCAGTTCTTGTGGTATCTCAGCTGGTACACCCGTTTTTGCAAAGTCAACTGCAATCGAGAACAGCTTTGCAAGATCCAGACACGGGTGGCTCATTGCTTTGCCAGGTTCTCTATCGGCGAAAACCGTATGAGCATGAGAAATGATTCCTAAACTGTCATTGACTATGTAGTTTGTGAAATATTCTTCGATTTCCTGCACCGAAACATTATACGGCAATTATCAATAATCTCAAAATTAAATCTCCAAAACCAAACAAAGAAACCAAAATATTGGTATAAGTTCAAAAACAGAAGCAACCGACAAGAACAGATTACATGGCACAAAAACAGAAACTTGCACCAAACGACAAACTTATCAGATTTAGGACCTTGGAACAATTTGTTACTTCAGATTCCGATTGTCTAATGCGAATTTACTTTCGGTAAGCAAAAGTCAAACTTTTATGCACAACCAACATACAACGTTTAATGAAAATGTCATTAGCTGTTATACCGGGTGCCATGTATAGAACAGTTAAACGATTGACAGCATGAACTTGTAAGATTTTGAAGAATGATTAACAGCATGAACTGAATACTTGAATACCTAGAAGAATAATACCTCAATGGTTACTTCATGATCCAATGTAGCACTTGGAGCTGGTGAGTAATCCATCGGCTAGATTTGCTTAGATGGAATCAAATCCGGGTCCCAACAGACAAAGTAGATATCACCATCCAGATCACCTCCAGAGCTTTCATTCGGATGAGGTCTAAAAATTTTATTCAATTCTCAGTCAGTAAATCGCTATAACCATCTTGTTATTATGTGCAAATACATTGAAAAATACAGAGAGCTTCCATAAATCGTGCAGGATTTAACAAAAACATACAAAAGAATACAGGTATAGCAAATCTGAATGATTTGAACAAAATTGTAATTGTAATAGAAGTCATTTTCCGGTTAGCGTATGACAATATTCGAGTCCATAATAATGCTTGCTAAAGAGGAGATAAACATAATGATTTGAGAATTAAAAAAAATTGATAGCATAACCCAGTTGCATGCTTCAGAACCAAACTGAGGTCAAATCCATACTTAACCTTCTGACCCGCCAACACTATACTCAGCAGTAGATCCTAATGCACACAAGCATCCTGAATGTAAGAAAAATGTAGTTATTTGGCCAAAACCTGATGACAAACAAGGCTACGGTGTACATAAAACAAGTTCATCTAGAATTAGAGTTTCTGCAAACTATAATAAAGAAAGACCACTTTATCACAGTATACGAGAACGTAGAGTATGCCCTTGATATACCTGCTTCCTTTCTGTGGAAAAACAACACAATCTACCATATGGTGCAAATCTGGCACGTCAATATCCCTTAAGACAAGCACATCCCCAGGGTGCAAACAGGGGTTTCTTGCAACAACTACCTTACCCTTAACAATAGAACGCCTACTATTGGATCTAGAGCCAGAAAACTGCACAAACACTTGGCCATAATTCAATGTTCTAGTTTCGTCTAGACATCCCATCATGGACCTTCCATTTTGAAGGAATATCCTGGCTTTAGTCCGCAACTCCAATAACTTTGACGCCCGAAATGTTTGCAACATCATGGAAAGGAATGGTTCTTCATCGGGCTTATAACCACACAGGAGCATTTCCTTGAGAATGTCGGTATTTTCTCCTGGAGACATCAACTCCAAAGCCTCCTGAGCCTTTAAGGGATCTGTCAGGAGAGCATTAAGTTGATCTACTACTTCTCTTTGTTTTTTCTCAAAAGCACGATCTGGAACTCCAAGAGTAGACAACAGAGAAATCAACTGGCGGTTCAGAAAACATGGCTGATACTTACTCCAAGCCAAAACATCGAGTTTTGTGTTAGGTGGGGTCAACAGCCACAACACCTTTGAATCCGCCAATCCGAATCTGAAAGGCCGATGGAGTGTGACCATTCAAGTGGCATTTAGTGGCCACCTTCTTAGCAAATTTAGCTGATATTTTTCCAATTCCTTCAGAAAAGACATATTTATTTCCACCCTTCACGATTTCTATATCTGGAATACGGTTGATTTCATCTTTCGCAACACTAAGGGTTTCGGTTGATGAACTGAAAGATTGGTCCAGTCTAGCAGCATATATTGCCACATTTCTTATTTTACTAAAATCTCCCATCCATGACCTTATATCAGCAGCAGTGAGCCCCTTTCTCGAAGCAAACATCCAGGCTGAATTTTCGCGTAATTGACTTGATGAGAAGGCAAGAAATTCAAATATCTTGTCCCCAATAACTATCCCACTTTGCAGGGTAGAAAGAATCCTTTCATAAATATCAGTTCTCCTATCCTTTGCTTGCACATTTGTTGAATGGATCGTCTCCAACTCTTCATCAACGAAAGTGACGCGAAGAAAATTATCAATATCATTACGGAATTGGCGTAGCACGCGGTTAGAAACATTAATCTCAGGACCACAAAAGTAGACTCTAGAAGGTGTTATCTGAACCCTTCTTACATATACCAAGCCAGCATCTAAGGATATAGCAGGTGAGACTGGATGTTTCTTAGACCTGGTGTAAACTTTGTACTCCTTAAAGAGCCACCTCGAAGGTTCATAGCAGCATTCTTTTAGATGATAAAGTTTCTCCAGTGCATGGTCTATGTAGACTTTGTCAATTCTAGAAGCATCAACCAGTCGTTAAAAATTATCATCAAGAGCTGGTCCTGGTATGCATCCATTTTGCACCAACAAATTAACCTTGAACAATATTTCAAATGGCAATTCAACTCCCTGCAAAGGCCATACAATTGGGACTAGAGTACCGTAACAGGAATAAGGAAAACCACTTTCGAAAACCAATCTGCCTTCGTTTTCTTTTTAGTAAGCGAAGTTCTCCTCAAAATTTGGAAGTTGGAGGTTGCGAGGAAGCTCCAAACATAATACAGATGACTGCCCGATATGGCACCATGGCGTGAAATCAGTTGTCCTTACCCATTGATCATCAGGCACATCCGTAAAGTAGTTAAGGAAGGTATCATCAAATACACGTCCAGAATAGCGCACTTCTTTCTCATATATCCGTGGAGCACCAAATAACTGAAAATTAAAAGGAACCCACGAAGCATCATAACCTTTTTTTCATATATAAGAGATAAATCTTTAAGAAATTGTATTTTCTAGCATCAATAAAACAGCTCGAATTTCTTGCAATGAAAGGTTTGGCTCTAAATAGTCCATCAAGGACCTTGCATGAGCCAAGTTTCATAAGCAAGTAGACAACAGTAATCCATCCATCAATCCTCATTTTGAGCTTCCTGTTACAGACTTAAAAGTATAATCTAAACTGATCTGTAGCTCTTCTAAGCATATATAAATTGATTTGCACCATTTATAAGTTTACAATTGCCAAAAAGTTCTACTGCCCCAGATCAACAGTAATGAAAACTCTAAAATTTCAATGGAAATGACAATGGTTTCATAGTAGACTAAAATCAGCAAAAGAATCATGATATATGCAGATGAGGACACCTATTATATGCAAGCAATGACTCCTATCTCTTGGAAGCTAGGATAATACGATAGAAACAAATGATGAATTCGTATTCAAAGTTTAGTAGCAACCTGGATCAAAAGATAAATAGAGTTTTGATTGCACGCGCGACGAAGCTCAATTTGCCAGATGTTCTCATAGAAAAGCTCAAGCTTGTAAGGTAAGCAACCATGTGACAGCAGAAATTGCAATTTCCCCATTCCTAGACCAAAATTCACGGTAACATCATCCGCTTTCCAGAGAACATAATTTTTTTCTTTCGAGACCTGACAGCCAAACTGAACTTTGACATGTTCCATCGAGTGCAAAAATGTTCTCGGCTTTGGCACGATATCGGTCTCCATTTCCCTAGCCTTAAGATATGAAGGCCCGTAGTATAGCCTTGGATTAGCCAACCTTACGATCAGCTTTGCATCAGCTCTTTTGGTAAATTGCACAATAGCATAAGCTCTTCCACCCTTCTTTTGCTGCCTTATCTTAAGGGCATAAACAGTTTTTTTGCCTGTATATCTCTCTAAAAATTTCCTTACTTCTTCTAGTGAAACGTCTGAAAGAAACCCAGAAACTTGAATTGTCTTGCTCTTACCCATAGTCTCAATTCACTCTATGTTCTTACCACTTCAAAACATACAATTAACTGCAACAACCAGATACCAATACATAAATAAAGACTGTATAATGCACTAACATAGGAGACAAATTAACTAGCCGTTCAATGAAACAATCACACTTTCATAAGAAAAAGCAAGAGAAGCAACAAAAATTCTATGTTTGTTACTGGTAATGGCCTATGTTATCCAAACTTCACATTTTTTAACCACATTCAATTTCACATAATTATTAAGAAAACAAAAAAAGAACCGTTACCAGAGAGAAGAAGAAGATAGATCACAACATAAATAAACCCAAACTCCGTTGATAATTGGGAGAGTAAATAAAGACTCCAACTTCACTTTGCTTGCCTACTTGGAATCTTTGATCGTCAACACTTTTAGTCAATATATGTATAGTGATAAACAGCCATGGAAGAAAGACCAAGTGACGAAGACAGCCGTGATTTTTCAACATTATGTCATATATTTGTAATTTTCCTTTGCTTTTCTCGGAGCTAACAGCCAATGGGTCTTCGACACGAAATAATTTCGCGGATTTTGCGTTGCCAGTACGGCGTAGCTTTTCTGAAACTTGGTAACGAAGTAGTTTGTGGGATTCGCTGTGCTCAATCTTACTAAAAGATACCTATCACCATTTTGGTATCCCCATTACGGCCTAGCTTTTCTGAAACTTGCTGACGAAGTAGTTTGTGGGATTCGCTGTGCTCAATCTTACTAAAAGATAACTATCACCATTTTAGGGGAAATTTTATAGTACGTCAAATTTAATATAAGAGTAATAAAAGACGTTATCGGTTTTTATATTATTTAAATAATAAAATCGATAAAAAATTATCTGAAATATTATTATTTTTACTTAAAATATTAATAGTTTTTAATATTTTCGATAAAGTGCTCAATAATAATAAAATCAGTAAAAAATAACTAAAACGCCTAATAATAATAAAACTGATAAAAATAATAATATTTTCAGTAATTTTTTACCGATTTTATTATTTAAATAATAATAAAATCAATAACACTTTTTTTAACCGTATATTAAAATTGTCACATGTAATTATTTCCGGTATTATCTCCAATGATGGTGAAGAAGATGACAATAACAAGGCTTAAAGGAATAATATTTATCCTTTAAAAGTATATTTTATTTATCAAGTTGTTTTCTAATTTTTTTGAGAAAATTTATCCTTGAACTTCTAAAAAGTATTCTCGTTATCTCATTTTTTAAACACGTAAAAGAAAACCGAAAAATAATTTGAAAATGATTGTTGCTAAATCAAATTATTATGATTTGATTTTTAAGGTGATTTTATTTGTTATTTAAAGGATAGCATAAGGCCAAGATAACAATTTATTAATTATTAATTAAATATATGCTATTATCAAATAATAAACAACCGGTATCTCTTTCATTAAAAATTTCCATTAAAATTGATTTTTAATAGTATTTGTTATCAAAGGCATTATAACTTGCTGAAAACTTTAAGACAAGTATAACTTGCTAGGGACCTATGTTTACTCAAGCCTAGTGTAAATGTCAACCAAGGAATTTGTTCGATACGAATATATTTTATTTTCTTTTACAATGCCGACGAATCCGCTAACATAAAATTCTTAACTTCCGCCGAATATCGGACATGGATACCAAGAAAAATAAAGAATCATAGTGGCATACATAAGGACAATCTCCATGAAATATTTAAAAGTGCCTCGGGGGGGGGGGGGGGGGTTTCCTGATCAGAAAGGCTCGAATTTAGCTTCCTTGCTGAATCGTCCGAAATCGAGCATGTTTGACAACAAGTTCATTGGATCCAAAATATTCTTGAAACTAAGTTCAAGTTTCAATTCCTTTATTCAAACAAATCACACAGAAGATAGCCCTAAAAATGATTTATGGAGTACAGCCATAGAATAGCTCATTTTGTTTTTCAGATTTCACTAATGACGATCTATATTACTGCATTAGGTAAGACTGCTCAGAACAAGGCACATCAATAGTCTATATCTATGAAGTTGTTCGGGTTTTTTCTCTCGTCTAGTCTTACCGGCTCTCGAGCTTGGGACATGTGAATCAGGCATTCCGAGCCAAGCATCGGTCGGTTTTATCGATAAAGTTCTAAGGAACAAGATTATTTAAACAAATTTCCTTCCGAGAGGAATTTTGTTCAACTCACAAAGATAATAAATACCCCGCATTTGAAGAAAGTTCAAAACAAATTGCCTGAACGAATGTACCCATGTAAGGCCATAAGAAAATCATAACAGCAACTCGGCGATCTGAACAGCGTTTAGTGCAGCTCCCTTACGTACTTGGTCACCGCAAACAAAGATGTCCAACCTGTTTTAGGACTTTGTATTAGCGTGAAAATTCTCTACGATGACAAAAGAAAAGTAGGAGATTTACCCATGATTTCCTTCTTGAGACAAATCTTTGCGAATTCTGCCAACTGCAACATTGTCTTTGTTTGATACTTCCAACGGTGTAGGGAAGTGGTTAGCACTCCGGTCATCAATAACTAAGACCCCGGGAGAATTTTTCAAAATTTCTCTTGCTGTATCCTGATCAACAAAGAATTTACCAAATAAAGAGTTCAAGACTGGAAAAGGTATGTCAAGTTATCAACATATCAACTAGAGCATTGGCATTGTTCTCAAACCCCGAAAATTCACATTTTTGGTTTCTGATCTCAAATATTGATGCTCTTATTAGTGTTGCAGCGTGCTTTTTAATCTCCAGCATAGACCACTATGATTAGCAATTTAGGGATGTTATGAATCAGAGTCCTAGGCTACTTTTCGTAAAAAATGCTCATAAACTTAACGATAAATGCAGCATATGTAAATGCACCGGATAGCTATAATGATAAAAAAAACGACAAATGCTTGTAACTTTCTTCACTTTTATTTCATATGTCGAAGATAAAATCGTATCTTTATATATAAATAAAATATTACCTCATCAAGAGGCTTCTCAAACTGAAGGTTCACGCTCTCAGCATGTGCACGCATCACAGGGACTCGTATGCATGTAGCAGTGACATTAACATTTTTGTCATTCTGAGAAAAACGGGAGGGGCGAACATACAAGAAAAAACATGATTATATTAGATGGCTTTTCCTTCTCAATAGAAAATTCAAATGAAAAAGGCATTATATAACTTTATATATCCAACACTTTAATTACTTACCCAGATTTTCCTGGTCTCTTTCACCATTTTCATTTCCTCTTCATTATATCCATTCTCGAGAACAGGGGCATTATGTGAGAACAAATTAAAAGCATACTGCAAAAGTAAAATAAGTAATCAAAAGAAACCTGGTGAAATGTAAAGATATTCACAAACTACTCGAGACTGTCGAACAAAAATATACATACTTGTTGCTTAAAGATATTACAAGTTGGTGGTTTCCCTTCCAAGACCTAAAGTAAAATACAGCAAGGAATCGATTTAGAAGGAAATCCCATGTAAAAAGTAAACAATAATACCAAAAAAAAAAGGTAAAAACGAAGCTTAATCAAACCACCTCACGGGCTTGTAGCTCGAGCTCGTGCATGGCAGCAGCACCAGCACCACTAGCCGCCTGATATGTACTAACCACCATTCGTGTCACCTGCAACACACCACAGGCAAGAATCAAATGTCTTAAGCTGCTTAATGCAGTATAGTTACAATTTAACCATTGAAAACCAACAAAAGCTTAACAAGAACAATCGATATCCTAGACTAAAGTTTTTTCTCGACATCTCATGAAAATCAATCCACTATAAAATTAAAACCACTCAAATCATTAAATCACACTAACTTAAACTACAACTATCCATTACCTAGTAGCTTCAAGCAATCACTTTGTCATCTTACTTCATTCAAACTCAATATGCCTTCAATTTCTTGCCTAGTGTACCTTATATTGTCCTTTTACAAACACAATAATCATCCATCTAATTTAACAAAAATCCAAAAGGCAGCAACAATCAAACAATGCAAAACCAAATTCTATATCAATCAAAGTGTATAAATATCTATGAACCACTAAGCAAAAGATTGTAGAACAAAAATGGAAACTTTATACGATACCTTAGCATGGCGATGAAGTGGGGTAGCAGCCATTAAGCAGATAATCGTAGAACAATTCGGGTTTGCTATCAAAGCACCCTTTTTCATCCCAACTTTAATCCCACCCATTGCTTCCGGATTCACTTCAGGAATAACTAATGGCACCCCATTGACCATTCGAAACGCCGAGCTGTTATCGACCACGATGGCACCTTTTTGGACAGCAATGGGACCGAACTCTTTGCTTATCGACCCACCAGCACTGAAGAGAGCGATGTCAACGTCGTCAAAGCTGTCGGAAGTGAGTTCTTGGACGGTGAAGGTACGGTCTTGGAACGAAATAGACTTGCCAGCGGAGCGTTTGGAAGCGAGGAGCTTGAGGGAACGGTAAGGGAAGTCACGGTCGGAGAGGACGGAGAGGAATTCTTGACCCACGGCGCCAGTGACTCCGACGACGGCGACGGATGGGCCCGATTCTTGGAAAGACATGCGGACCATGGTGGGCAGTTTGTTTTGTTGGAGTTTGGGTTTTGGGGTAGAAAGGAAATGGGGTTTGAGGAGGTGGCTGAGGGAAGCCATTATCGAGTTCAAGGAAGAATTCAGGTGAGACAGAGAAAAGGGGGGAAAATAGTATTGAAGTGGTGGTGGTGGTGGTGGAGGCGGCGGCGGGAATGGTATCTGTACTGCTCATATCGTATATTCAAATGCTGATTTAGAAGAGTGTGGGAAAGTTAGCCTTTAAGACTTTGGAAAGTTACGATTTTTTTTTTCATTTTTGTCACTGTGTAAAAACCAGGGGCGTAGGTAGGTATGCACGCAGGCCGGGGATTTTGGTTAAACGCTTGTACTAGTCCCTATACGATGTCTAAGTTGTAGTTTGGTCTTTATACTCAGATTTAGTCATTTTGGTCTTATATTTTTAAATTTTTTAAATTTTAATCCTAATATAAATAATAATCATTAAAATAATTATATATAAATTTTAGATTTATTTCTTATTTTTTAATTTTATCATTTTAAATTCATATAGTTTAATTACATTATATATTATTTTAAATTGAGGCTAAAATTTTGAAATTCAAAAATATTTAACAAAATTGATCAATTTAGAATATAAAGACTAAAGATATAACTTATATATAATATAGAGTTTGATGATCCATCCAAGGTGATAGTTAAATCCATTGCCCATTATCGTCATTGAATGATAAAGTAATATAAATAGATCAATATACGTGTAATGTGTCAATTTAAATATATATATATATGTGATTTTTTAGTTTTATTATATTTTTTAACAATTATTATTTAGGAGAAGAGAAGAAAATTTTTACTCCTAATAAATATTGAATTAACAATTTATAGAAGAAAAAAATATAAACTGAGAGCTTTTAATAGATATTCGACTTTTTTATTTCTAAATTCCTAGTTTGGTATCATTTAATCTGACAGTCATTTTGGATGGATCATCGTCCCATGTTGGATCTATCTATCAATTCTAAAGATTAAAAGATGGGTGAATGGTTCTCACGTGTAGCCAATAACTCATACACCTTTCATTACACATTGACATGTTAAAGCGCGTACAATAAACTTTTATAACCTTCATTCTTATACGACGGTGGCTTGAGCATCTAATCATATCTAGTTGATCCAATGTTACTATCGTATCGTTTTTCATGAATAGGTGTCTATAGTATTTTTTTTAAAATGATTTCTGTTAAGTGACACGTGTCATATTTTGATAATTTTAAATTTTTTAATTTAAAAATATTATTACATTTTTAAAAAACCTAATTTATCTTTCTTTAAAAAAACAAATTCATAGAAATCCTAAATCCTAACTCGCCGCTATTTCCGGCCACGACCGCCGTCGCTGATGTAATCCCTGCCATCCTCCTAGTCATATACAGTCATAGTTGTTATCGATTGATCGTCGAAATCGCGTGAGATTGCGATTTTCATCCTAGGGTTCGCAGGGTACAAAACGTTGATCGATCGTTGATAGGTCGCGATTTCATATGGGTATTGATCGCCGAGAGTAGGTGAGGTCGGGTAGAGCTTTGTTGATGGCAAGGGTGGCGGACGACGTAGGTTTAGAGGTTGAAATGAAGGTTTTCAAAGTTTTGAGGCTATTTTGAAATTTTTGTGTATTTTTCAAATATATTTTTAATTAATTTTTTTTAATTATTAGAATGTGACATGTGTCACTTAACAGAGAAAATTAACAGTTTTTACGGCTCAGACACCTAAAGTGGTAACGTTTATAACGTTAAATATCATAATCATTCAAAAAATAATGTAGACACTTATTCATGAAAAGCAATATAATTTACGCAATTATTTTATAATTAAGCCTAATTTAATTAATCTATTATCCTAACTTTTTTTTACTTTTTATTGTTATTTTTTATTTTCTTTTGAAAATAACATGTGTTACACATCTATTGTTTAGTTCATGCCTCATCATCATTCTATGATGATAATGAGTGATGTGAGGGACAATAAGAAAGTTGGATAGTCACATTGGTAGTACAAATTCTTAAATTGCCATATTGTATGATACTATGAGAGGGTGTAGTTAAATGATCAAATTGATAATAATTTTTTTAGATGATCATATTATTTGATAAAGTATAGATGAGTGACAAAATGGTATTTAACTTATTTTTATTTTTACATTTTAATGTGTTTATACGGATTTCGACCCAATCATGCAAACTTCCAATGGGCCAAACTTAAAATACGCCCCAAAAAGAGTGTAGTTTTTGTATTACTTTGAGTTAAATGCTCATATTAGAAATTTCTGACCTTTTCTAGGAGAGATACTAAAACCCTAATCCCTCTCCCATTTTTTTCAAGCTTCATTTTTTAACATCAGCCATGGCTTCCATCTTCAGGAACTCAAAACTAGCAATCCCCAAATCTTTCTTCTCTACTCATACTGTTAAACAAAACCAACCATTTCCTTCTTTCAAAGCTGCAAAATCTGCCATTATATCCGAAAAGAACCCTGAAAAATTAGCAGAAATCTTCCAACAATGTTCCCATTTGCCGACTTTCCTTCGACACCGCCCCATCTACCACCTCTCCATCCGCAAGCTAGCTCGAGCCAACCGCCTCGACCTCGTCGACCGCCTCCTCGAGACCCAAAAGCTCAATTCGCAGAACACCCCCGCCCTCAAATCCGAAGGCTTTTGGATTCGTCTCATTATGCTTTACTCAAATGCAGGGATGGTCGAACAAGCACTCCAAATGCTCGACGAATTGTCTCAGAAAAGGTATTCCAATGTAACTGAAAAATCTCTTTGTGCTATTCTTACGGTTTATCTTAACAATGGGATGTTTGAGCAATTACACGATTGTTTCAACACTCTTCCCGCAAAGATCGGCGTTAAGCCAACGGTAGTATCACATAACTTGGTGCTGAAAGCGTTTGTGAAAGAAAATAAGATAGAATCAGCACGGGAATGGGTTGAGAAAATGGGTGTGAGTCCAAATATTGATACTTTTAACATATTGCTAGGAGCTTACTTGAAGAATGGGGATCAAAATGGATTTGATGGAGTTATGAAAGAGGTTTTAAAGAAAGGGATTGAAGGCAATTTGACTACTTATAACCATAGAATTTCAAGGCTATGCAAGAGCAAAGAATGTGCTAGGGCTAAGAAGTTGTTAGATGAGATGGTTTCAAAAGAGTTGAAGCCAAATGCTGCTAGCTATAATACTATCATTGATGGGTTTTGTAGGATAGGAGATTCGGAATCGGCTAAGAAGGTTTTGGGTAAGATGTTGAGTGATGGGTATGTTTTGCCTTGTTCGTTTACTTATTATAGTTTGATTCGGAGTATGGTGAATGAAGGGGAGCTGGATTCGGCTTTGGAAATGAGTAAGGAAATCATAAAGAGGAAATGGGTGCCACCATTTGAGGCCATGGAGGGTCTGGTTAAAGGGTTGGTAGAAAGGTCGAGGTCGGAGGAAGCTAAGCAAGTTGTCGAGAAAATGAAAAAGAAGCTTAAAGGGGATGCTTTAGAATCATGGGGAAAAGTTGAAGCTGCTCTTCCTCTATAAAACTACTGAAGCTTTGGTGAGGTCTGGTCAAAGCTTTGAAGGGTTGTCGTCCTCCACAGAAGCCATGCAAGTTGGACTTCATCCATTGAGTTATCACAAGATATGGTCATTTTTATATGGTGAAATGGATATTAAGCTTCTGAATTTAACAATTTTATTGCGTCATATTAATCTTGATTTTTTGCATTGAAGATATTTTGGAAAAGAATTATTGTTTAGTAGTAATAATTATTGGAATCTTCTTATTATAGTTGTTTTTTCCCCCGCTAGTTTTGTTGTGCTAGTTTTGTTGTGCGGCTCTAAAATGTTATCATGTCCAACATAAAAAAATATAAAATTGATAATAATTTTGATTACAACCGATAATGCGACGGGTTTTAACCTAAAATATTACATGTATACACTAAAAAGTTATTCGATTAGTAATAATTTCGGGTGCAACCGAAAATGTTTTATTATGGAGAATGTAATATTTTCAGTTTCAACTTAAATTTTATCCATATTACTCTAAAGAGTTATGTTCTAAGAAAGTTTTTCGGTTACAATCGATTTATGATATTTTTTATTCTTATATTAAATGATTGTATTTTAGACTCATATTTCTTTATATTAGGCATTTACAAAATAACATGAAAACACATGAAAGAACGTGTTATGTTGGTCATGTCTAATGGTGTCATGCTGTGTTGTATAGCCATAATTTCATATACATTATTAAACCACAAAAATGCAATATCTCCCTTCTTTTAATCAAATGAAGAATACAATGAACACATATTTTTCTAAAGAGAAGAAAATGTAGGATTGTGTAGGGTTTAGATCCGATACCAAATATTCTATGTAAAAAGGCTCATTTAACTGTTGGCCGTGATGCTCGGTGTGTATAATCCGGTGTTATCATCTGAACCCTTAAGTAGAAACCTCGGAAGGCCAACCTTGTACCCTGTTTTTCTCACATCTTCTTGAACTTGGTCTCTATATTCTCCGAAAGTAAACCCTCTATAAATGGAAGGTTTCACGATGCTCTCGATCCAAGAATCATAGTAAGGGCAAAGGAAATAAGCAATGGAGTATCTCTCCATTGTTGCATTGGTCACCACCTTATGTTCCACGCTTTTGTAAACATCATTGCTCCATGCCTGTAAAATTTTTCACTTTGAAGATTTAGATTTTCTGACAAATTGATAAATTGTGCCTGTGAAAGAACAAATTTGGATTTGTTTTATTTTGTTTGATGAACCTGGAAAAGGTCGCCGATGTTGACGATGAGAGCATCTTTGTTAGGTTTGACAGTCACCCATTTGGAGTCTTTCATGAGTTGAAGCCCTCCGACTTGGTCTTGACAAAGAATCGTTAGGAAATCGCTATCGGTGTGGGGCACTAGACCGGTAATCTCCGGAGTTATCGGACATGCTGGGTAGTGATTCAGGCGAAGGAAACATGTCGTTTCGTTGCATATAGTGTCGATCCGAGCTTGTTTTCCGTGGCCTAAGTTCTCTGTCAGGATCCTTGCTAGAACCCTCGACAGCTCCGACATGGCTGCTGCGAAACATGTCATTACTTCCCTGTAAAAAAAAACAGAGGATTATGGTAACAAGTCAATTTTCCTAGTAGAGAAATTAAGTTCGAAACTTAAGAACGATATTATTGACATGGGAATTAAAAAAACAAATGGTATTTTGTTAGTTTTTTTTTTTTACCTTAAAGACGTGAAGTCTCCATAACAAGCTTCATCCGAGACCTTAGTGAGAGGGACATGAAAGGCTTCCGACCAGGAGAATTGATTAGGACAAGTAGCCCTAGGATTTCCCCACCTGTAAGAATCATTCAAAAGTCCACTTTTAGCTTTCGTTTCAAAGGGTGTTTGGAACAATTTCACTTGCTCGCTCCTCATCTTCTTGACTAGTTGAGGGCTAATGCCATGATTCACCACTTGGAAAAAACCCCATTCCGACGACGCTTTACAAATTGCGGCGGCAGAAGCTCGGCAAACTGTTTCGTCATCACTTGTTAGAGCACACAAGTCGATCAATGGAAGCTGGCATTCTTCCATGGTGACTCTGCTTTGGGGTTCATCGCATTGAGTCGAGTGGCATGATAAAAGTATTCCATAATGGTCGAGCAGAGGTGGGTCTGAATCTGAATGAACCATTGCTAATGGACCAAACACAAGTTCTTGTATGTGAATTGCAGGGTGGAAACTTGAAGGGTTAACTCTGTTTATATATGGTTCGGCGACAGGCGAGAAGCCACCAAATGTCGACATATGCCGAAAGGAGAGGGTTTCACTCTTATATTGTCTGGGACAAGAAGCATGGAGCTTTGGTGCAGGAAGGTGGGAAAATGATAAGAAGAAAAGATGCAAACCTACCTTCAAATTCGACTTTTTTGAAAGCTTTGATTGAATAGGCAAAGCCCCATTTTTAACATGTAAATTCATTAGATATAATTGTGAAGAAAATAAATTTAAGATATTCTCAAGAGGTTAAAAGAGTAGAATGTGAGTGAAAGAATATACTCTTTTTAGAGAACAAATTTATTTGTCTTTTATAATTCTCGACAAACAGGTAATTCAAGTTCATCCTCAATGTAATATATTCTATTTATCGGATGACAAGATAGTTGTTCATCTTTATCACCGGATCACATAATGTAAGAATTTCATCGAATAATTTTTTTCAAAGTAAATTGATGTTTCCATAATGTCTTCTTATATAATCTAAAATTATTAATTCCGTAAAATCACCATTTTTAACTGAAATATTATATGATAATGGTATTTCCAAAAGCCAACCGCTGATATATAACAATTTCCACACACACACAAAAAGTTTGGATTTTTTTTCTTTTGATTTAGTCTTAATACAAAATTAAATACATAAACTTTGTTGAGTTTGTAATCAGTTTTTCTGTTAATAGTTTGTTACAAATAGTTTTAAGTTAGTTAGGCAGTTAGATTGAAAAGGTTCATATATATATATATATATGTAAACAAATTGTAATTTGTGAGTTGAGAAATGAAGATTAATTTTTTCATAGCTCTTGTATTAATCTTTAACATGGTATCAGGCTAGCCCAATTTCACTGGGCCTTTTCTCCTTCTCGGGTCTGCTATTGCTTCATTTCTTTTTCCTCATTCTTGAAGTAGGTTACCTTTCTGCTCTTTCTTCATCGCCGCATCTGTCACGATGCCACACACCATAGCCCCGATGAACGAATCAACGCTTCTTGACTTTAATCACCCGCTATATCTCCATCCCTCGGACACTCCGGGTACGATCTTGATCTCGCATCAGTTGTCTGGACCAGATAACTACACCGTCTGGAGTCGCTCAATGCGAATCGCACTTCTCGCCAAGAACAAATTAGGGTTCATCGATGGAGGTTACTGTCGTAATGATTTTCATCCCTCTCTTCAAGCACAGTGGGACAGATGCAACGCCCTTGTGCTGTCATGGCTCATCAATTTGGTGAGCAAGGATTTGTCTGCTGGAATTGTTTTTGCCTCCAGTGCAGAGTTCGTTTGGGCCGATCTCAAGGAGCGCTTTGACAAGGTCGACGGTTCCCGCATATTTTTTCTTCATCGTGAGATTACCACGATGGTCCAAGGCGAGCTTTCTATTTCTGCGTATTTCTCACGGTTGAAGCTTCTGTGGGACAAGTATGATACACTGGTACCTTACTCGAGCTGTACATGTGAAAATGCTCAGTCCAGTTCACGCCATGTTTCTCAACAGAGATTGTTCCAGTTTCTCATGGGGCTGAATGACTCGTACACTGCCATTCGAAGTCAAGTCCTGTTGATGCAGCCCTTACCTTCGGTCAATAGCGCCTATTCCATGATTAGTCAGGAGGAATCTCATCGCCTTCAGTTATCTGGCGTTGTCCCCCTCTTGGACTCTACAACACTGTATTCCAATGCTTCTGGCAACCGTCGACGTTTTACTGGCATCTGTGATCATTGTAAGGTGAAGGGCCATAAAAAAGAGAATTGCTATCGCCTTATTGGCTTTCCTCCTGATTTTAAATTCAACAAGAAGAAGGGTTCCCAAGCTGCTATGGTGACTCCTTCTGATCGTGAGGTGTCTACTCCAGCTCCATTAGTTTTTACAACTGCACAGTATCAACAGCTTCTGGGGCTTCTAAATCGATATTCAGCTCAAAGTTCCAGTCCAGATTCCTCTGTGAATCTGACAGGTACCTTCTGTTCTCTTACTTATAATTCAATTGAATGGATTCTGGATTCTGGAGCAACTGACCATATTTTGTCAGACTTAAAATGCATGCTCAATCTTGTGCCCTGTACATCCACGCCTAAATTTGTTCAGCTGCCTACTGGCAAATCCTTTGTTGTCACACATATAGGTTCTGTTAGGCTCCCAAATGGTCTTCAATTATCTAATGTTCTTCATGTGCCTCACTTTACTCATAATCTCATTTCTGTTTCAAGACTGGCTCATGAGTTAAACTGTGTTGTTTTGTTCTATCCTGACCTTTGCATATTGCAGGATCTTTGCAATGGCATGATGAGGGTGATTGGTAAAGAATATAGAGGTCTATACATGCTCAGGTTTCCATCAAATTCTGTTTTTTCTATTTCTACCTTATAACATTTTGTTGATGCATGTACACCTTCTGAAACTTTTCTCAATACTTGTAAATCTGTTGATGCAAATAAAACAAGTCTTTGGCATGCTCGTTTAGGACATGTTCCAGCTTCTCAATTAAGAAAATTGCCTATGTTTCATAATGAGAATTTGCATCATGAATCGGTTCAATATTGTTCTATCTGTCCTTTAGCTAGACAATCTAGACTTCCATTCCCAGTTAGCAATTCCAGGACCACCACTCCATTTACATTGATTCATATTGATTTGTGGGGGCCTTATCGAATCTCTACTCATGCTGGTCAACGGTTTTTCTTAACTATTGTAGATGACTATACTAGGATGTCTTGGGTGTACTTATTGAAGCTTAAGAATGATGTTGTTTCCTATCTTCGAACCTTTATCTTAATGGTTAAGAATCAGTTTTCTCTCTCAGTTAAAATTGTTCGTAGTGATAATGGTCGTGAATTTTTCAATTCTGAGTGTTCTCCCTTGTTTGTATCTTTGGGAATTATCCATCAAAGTACTTGTGTGCGCACTCCTCAACAGAATGGGGTTGCAGAACGTAAACATAGGCATCTTTTAGAAGTTGCTCGGGCTCTTCGTTTTCAATCTCGGGTCCCTTTTAAATTCTGGGGAGAATGTGTGTTAGTTGCTTGCTATATTATCAATAGGTTGCCTTCTTCAGTCTTATGTTGGAAAACTCCTTTTGAATTATTGTATCATAAACCTCCTTCTTATAAACACTTTAGAGTTTTTGGGTGTCTCTGTTTTGCAACAAATCTTGCTCCTCATGATAAGTTTGATGTTCGAGCCTTTGCTTATGTCTTTTTGGGATACTCTCCAACCCAAAAAGGTTATTTGCTGTTTAATCTTGACTCTAAAAAACTATTCATCAGTAGGGACGTAAAGTTTCATGAAAATCAGTTTCCATTTCATCAATCTTCTTCCTTTTATACTTCTGATCCAACCTTTTTCCCATCTTCTACCCTTGTTCATGATGATGATTTCCTAGTTTTAAATACTCCAAGTCCTCAACATTCTAGCTCTCTTCATACTACTCCTACTGCATTGAGTACCGATAATGATGAACACACCTCTCAGACTTCAGTTCAGTCTTCTGCTTCAATAAGTGCACCTATTCCCTCTAAAAAATCCTCTAGAGTATCTAAGCCTCCTACTTGGTTAAATAACTTTGTTTGCTCTTGTCAATCCTCTTCTTCAAATTTCAGTTCTCTTTCTTATTCTCACTTACCAATTCACACTCAAATATGCTTGTCTTCCATATCTCAAATTTATGAGCCTCAATCTTATTCTGAGGCTGTTCAAGCTATGAAAGAAGAAATACATGCATTGGAGTCTAATAGAACTTGGTCCATTGTTCTATTACCACCAGGAAAAATTCCTATTGGATGTAAGTGGGTTTATAGAGTTAAGTACAAAGCATCAGGTGAGGTTGAGAGATATAAAGCTCGCTTGGTTGCTAAAGGCTATAATCAACAGGAGGGAATTGATTTTGTTGACACATTTTCTCATGTGGTTAAGATGGTAACTATTCGAACCATTTTAGCACTTGCTTCTATTCTTCATTGGCCATTATTGCAAATGGATGTATTCAATGCTTTTCTGCAAGGAGATCTTTATGAGGAAATTTATATGCAACTACCTGAGGGTTTTTGCAGTCAGGGGGAGAGGATTGTGTGTAGACTGCAAAAATCATTGTATGGTCTCAAGCAAGCTTCCAGGCAGTGGAATCTGAAATTAACAGAGGCATTGGTCTCGACTGGTTATGTTCAAAGAAAGTATGACTACTCATTGTTCATCAAGAGACAACAAGGTAAAATGGCCTTGTTATTAGTCTATGTTGATGATTTGGTAATCACAGGTGATAATAGTGAATTGATTGATGAATTGAAGCAAATGTTGAATAGTCGTTTTAAGATGAAGGATTTGGGGGAGTTAAAATATTTCTTAGGAATAGAGGTATTGAGGTCAAAAGAAGGCATACTTTTGAATCAAAGAAAGTATGCACTACAGTTAATCAAAGATACTGGTTTGGAGGAAGCAAAGCCTGCTATTACTCCTCTGGAGCAGAATATGAAGTTGACTACTTTGGACTATGATAAGATTGTGCAGCAGGATAATGAAGATGAACATAATCTTGTTGAAAAGTCAGTTTATCAAAGACTTATTGGGAGGCTGATTTACTTGACATATACAAGACCTGATATTACATATGCAGTGAATCTTCTTAGTCAATTCATGCAGCAACCTAAGAGGTCTCATATGGAGGCAGCTTTAAGAGTAGTTAAATATGTCAAGAAGGAACCAGGACAAGGAATCTTGTTAAAATCCTCTTCGATTTGCCAACTTTCAGCCTATTGTGATTTAGATTGGGGATCATGTCCGATGACAAGAAAATCTGTAACAGGTTTTTGCATTAAGATTGGTGATTCATTGGTTTCGTGGAAATCAAAGAAACAAAATGTTGTAGCAAGGTCTTCGGCAGAAGCAGAATATAGAGCTATGGCAGTGGTCACTTCTGAGTTGGTTTGG